AAAAAGAAACCAATTGCACAGTTACAAGATGGGGGATACCTGGCTCAGCAAAACTGCGAGTGAGAAGGATCTTGGAATTGTCGTAGATCACAAGCTAAATATTAGCCAACAGTGTGATGTGGCTACAAAAAAGGCTAATGCTCTTTTAGGCTGCACTAATAGAAGTAAAGGTTCCAAATCCTATGAAATACTCATTCCCCTCTATTCAGCACTGGTTAGGTTAGCCCTCACCTTGAGTATGGTGTCCAGTTCTGGACACCACACTTCAAGAAGGATGCTAACAAATTGGAACAAGTTCAGAGGAAGGTAGCAAGGGTGATCAAGGGGCCGAGAACCAAGCCTTAAGAGGAAAGACTGAAAGAATTAGACATGTTTAGCCTTGAGGGGTGATATGATAGCACTTTTCAAATATTTGAAAGGCTGTCATACAGAGTAGGGCCAAGATCTGTTCTCGATCATCCCAGAGTGCAGGACATGCAACAATGGGCTCCAGTTAAAGGAAGCCAAATTTTGGTTGAATATCAGAAAAAACTTCCTAACTGTTAGAGCAGTGCGACAGTGGAACCAGTTACCTCAGGAGTTAGTGAGTGTTCCGACACTGGAGGCATTCAAGGAAAACTTGGATAATCATTTGGCAGATGTACTTTGATTGTATTCCTGCATTGAGCAGGGGGTTGGACTTGATGGCCTTGTAGGCCCCTTCCAACTTCACTTTTCCATGATTCTATGATTCTATACACCGCATCTACACTGGCCAGTTCCAGTAAATACACTATGGATCTGAGTTTTTTTTTATTTAATATTTTCAGGCAGCAGTGAATCAGGAGGTACTAATCTTGTGGATAGGGGGGGGTCCTACTGTTCTTCACTTCTTGTAGAATGTTGCCGGTTGTTTAAGATTGTCCTTCTAGTTTGTTCATACAAAATATCATGGTTACATGTTTCCGGTTGAAGGCTGCGACTCACGAAGAGATGATGAAAAGAGAAGGGGGAGGGAGAGTAGCGTCCATTAAGGATGATTATGCCTCAGCTGCAGCAGCTCCAGTTGGAGTTTTATAAGCCTTTGATGCTTAAAGAAAAGCCCATCTGACCTTTAGAAGGCTAGGCCTACAGGCTAGGGTTTCATTCCTGTCTGCTGTGTGACTACAGTGCATGGGAAATGGGAAATTTCAAACATTAGCATGGTTAGATGTCTGATTAGCTTTTCCTGACTTGGTGCTGTGGCTGTTCTTGGCTGTATCTCTCACCATCCCTAGCCAAGGATGATCATTCCTTCCAGCTGAAGGTACTGCTACAGAATGGCAAGGCAGTGAATGAGAAAACAGCCATCTAGGATTTGGGCCTGGAGAAGCATAGTAACCTGGCATGTACCATGAAAACGTGATTGAACAAGGCTGAGGAGATTATGTTTCTCCTAGCTCTGCCTATCTGGATTCTCTGGGCTTCAGTGGGAAAGAACTGGGAGGTCAGTGGAATGGATGCCCAATGATCTAACCATGGTCCTTATTCTCTTAGCACATGCCCCATTCCATTCTTTCAGTTTTGTGTGAGCATTTGTGTGTGAAGATGGGTGCTGGGGTTCTGTTGCTATCCTGTCATTCCAGCCATTCCACAGGAAACCGCGTCCAAAGTATGTTGGCAGAAACTCAGGATGATCCTAACCAAACACAGTTCCTTTGAAAGCCTGCTCCATGACAGTGAAGAAATTACCCTTTGCTACAGCTGTATCTGCTCCATCACCCCATGGAGTGTTTCCTAGTGGTCAAAGGAATACTGCACCCTAGTCAATGAAAAAGTAAATGTGGGCCTGTGGTGACAAGTTTGCAGATCACTTTGTATATGAAATGTGTCCGTGGACACCATGGTTGATAAATGCCTAGAGGGGATAACTTGGGCCATTCTTTGTGAAGTTATACTGGATTTCCCCCCAATTTGTACAATCCAACGTTGTCCACAGGATCCTTGGAAAGTTGAGGCTTGCCATATCCATGTGCTTGTCCTTACTTGCTTATGAAAATCACCACAGGAGACGGGCCATTTAAGGAAGGATAGTAGTGAATACCATTTGCTCAAGATGATTCCACTGTGCCTAAAAGAGACAGTGGTGAAACCTCTGCCCCAGAACCTATCCCTTAGCCCCTCCTCTAGCAGATAATTTCCAGCAATTCTCCGGTCTTTCCAGGTTGAGCAAAGGACTGCAGTGTGTGGTGTCATCTCACTTCCAGGTGTTATCTCCATTGAACATAGGAGATTTATACCTGAGCAGACATAGAAAAGATAGTGCTCTTTCAAGTTCAATACACAGATTTTCTATTGGTCTTGCCGACCCATAAAGAACAATGGAAGCTTATGTAGTTTTAGGTGCATTATGCTTCCTGTGGTGAGTTCCACTCTGTATCAATTGAAGCTCCCCGGTTATGTTTCAAAGGCAGCTCCAAACAGAGCTCATTACATTAATCCAACCAGGATGTTAGCAAGGCATGCATAAGTATTGTCAGATCAATTCTCACCAGGGGGTGGCTCAGCTGGTCTATACCAGTCAATGCTGGTTTAAAAAATTCCCTATTAGTCTCTGCCATCTGAGCCTCCAGGCTTCCTGACTGCACTTAAGAGCATTTCCAGGTCTCTCCCATTTCCTTAGGGAGAATGCAGTCCAATCCAGGACAGGTAAAATATCTCACCTTGGGCAAATCCAGTCACAACTCACAATTACAAAATAGAGCAACACTGAGCTTGGGGAGCACCGGTGGCATTTTCTCCACTTATGTTTTACACAGTCAAAGGGAAAACACATTGCAAACCATATTTGAATACTGTAAATGAGTTTTGTCATGATTTTGTGGTAGTGGTTTCTTGCCTCTACCTTCTTCTAGAGGCAAGAAATACAGCTGGACCGGGACTATGGGCAGAAAGTAGAGATAATAACGTAGCATCAGACACTTGATACTGATAGTGAGGCTTAAATCCTGGCTTGATCTCAGTTCCTAAACTAAGGGTGCAATGCAAGAGTGGGTGATACATTTTTATTGGACCACTGAAAATAAAAACAAACAGCAAATGCTCATGGGTGAAATCCACTTCCTCATGCTCTTCATGGATGGTGCAGAATGGTAAAATGTGTATTTTCTGGGGACAACATGAAGGGTCACAGTCATTAAAGGTCATTTCTGTAGCCGCCCTGTCTTCTTCATAGCATTAATTCAGGAAAGATTGCCTACTCCCATGTCATTGTCTGGCCCATTCATTTCCTTTTGTTCCCGTGCAGACTGTCTCCATGACCCTGTGCAGGTTCATCTCCTCTCCCTTGTATTTTTCTGTCATGCTTTGCTGCATGCAAGATAATCTATTTTTGCCTCTGGAACACAGCTGGTTAAATAGGCGAATCTGTATTCATTCCATGACAGGCAGGCAGGCAGGCAGGCAGGCAGAGATTTAGCACTGTACTCACCACCAGAGAGTGATCTAAATCAACATTTTGCTGCATCAGCAGGCTAAAAATATCTTGCACTGTTTATGTTAGGCTGCTTTTACTAGCTGTTGGGAAGAGAAAGGAGACGCACACATAGAACAGGCTGCAAAGGTATTGGACATTTGTCCTTAGGGAAAAAAACTAGGAAGACTTGTTTCCTTGAAATTTTCCAGGTTTCCCTTCTGCCCAAACCTGCAGATCTCTAGCAAGAAGGTGGCATGCATGTGCATCCATTGATGTTAGGAGGGAGAGAACTGCCACATCCCTGTGCACTTACAATAAAAGTGTTGACTTCAGGTTGGGGTGCTGCAGCCCTCCACTGAACTAGAACTATCTGTCCGGTTGTGGCATCCTGCAAAACACTCTAGCTACCTCTGACTTGCTGAACAAAAGCACAAGGATAGGAGCAAGGGAAGGCATCTCCATGGGCACTAAGGAAAAAGGATACCTTCAGAGTTAACTAAGAAAAAAATTATGATCCAAAGCATTCAGTGTTATTGCTTCTGTGTTGCATTTTTAAGCTTATAAGGTCTTTAATTTACAATATTTACTATACAGTTGCTCTTTGACGTTATTTTGAGGTGTATTTTGTTTTAATTTAATGTTGTTGATTATTGTTCTTTTTTATTTTTATTTTTATTATTATTATTTTTTTTGCTGTGAACTGCCCAGAGTGGCCTTGGTAACAGATGGATGGTATTCAAATCAAATCAAATCTATCAGTCAGCCAGTCAGCCAGTCAGTCATTCAGTCAATCAAGAGTTACAGGAACCTTCCAGTTGCTCTTTTGGAGAAAAACTTCCATGACTCAAAATGCAGGGAGCCTTCACGGGTTGTTCCTGCTGGTTGGTCCTTCCAAGGATCTTTTGTTCCTTCTCAAGCATCTGTGGAGCCTGCCAGAGTCCTGTCATCTCTGCTAATCCTTGCAAGTAGGCGTGCAGGCAGAATGACACCAAAGTGGTCCAATATTCTCTCTTTCTTTCTTGTCTGTAGTTTCCATATGCTGCCCCACCACCTCAGGAGCCAGTGAAGACACTGAGAAGCCTGATCAATATCCGCAAGGACACGTTGCGTCTAGTCAAGTAAGTCTATCAATTCAAACCTTGGAGGTTGCAGTAACTGGTATTTCATATTCATCAAAAGCAAGAAACAGGATTAACTGGCAGGAGGGCCAGTTTTAGTGAGGCTGATTTCTCAAGTTCTGAGGCTTGAGGAAGTTTGGTTTGAAAAGTGGGAGATTACTGCCAGTCATCACTGATAATACAGTACTTAGTGGTCTAGACAGAACAAGGTGGAGCTAAAAATAACATTCCTTGTTACTCGAGGACATAACTTTAGAGGTTCCTAACTTTGAGCAAGCCAAGTAGTTGCTCAAAAACTGTAGTTCCCAGAAACCCCATGCAGCACAGCTGGTGGTGAAGGCTTCTGTGGATTGCAGTCCAAGAACACCCCTGGGTTACCCAAGTTTGGAAACCACTGCTTGAGAGAATAATACTGGCCAGAATCCTATTACTGTAGTTAGTTATGCTAGTATATGTGCATCTGAATGAATTACAGCTGTAAAGTGCTGTCACTTGTTAGTCATGTAAGTTGACACATGGTAAGAGATACAAGTGGCAACTCATTAATTAGCAGCAAGTCACCACTGCTGTTTATGTCATTGCATTTGCATCCATGTAACTAACCAACAAGATTCTGGCCACCATTTTCTAATGTCTGGCCTTTAGAAAATATTTGGATCTGCTTTTAAAGACTGTTTATAATCAGATTATTGAGAGAAGTGGTGGCGCTGCGGGTTAAACCTCAGAAGCCTCTGTGCTGCAAGGTCAGAAGATTGGCAGTCGTAAGATTGAATCCTCGCGACGGAGTGAGCTCCCGTCACTTGTCGCAGCTCCTGCCAACCTAGCAGTTTGAAAGCATGTAAAAATTCAAGTAGATAAATAGGTACTACCACGGTGGGAAAGTAATGGCATTCCATGTCTAGTTGCGCTGGCCACATGACCACGAAAACTGTCTTCGGACAAACGCTGGCTCTAGGGCTTGGAAACGGGGATGAGTACCATGCCCTAGAGTCAGACACGACTAGACTAAATGTCAAGAGAAATCTTTACCTTTATAATCAGTTTGTAAATTAATTTTTGTCTGTTATAAATTGATTTTGTGTAGGAAGGCAATAAAGAAATGCAAAGAAAGAAGGAAGATTATTATTTAAAATTAATAAGAGGCAATGTCATTAGTTTTAATGCCAAGCCTATTAATGTTGCAAGGTTTATTTTAGAGCTGTTTACTTGTTGCTTCAAAATATTATTTGGAGGATAAGAACTTCTTTATTTTTTGTATTTTGAAAATAAAAATAATTAATTTAGTGGTAATTAAGGAATACTGTACTGCACTGCTTTTGCAAAAGAATAATATGTATACAACCATTAATTCCTAATAATGCTTTTAAAGTAATGTTTCAAAGCTCAGGACATGTGCTTTGATTCAGTAAATGGAAGCTTCCGTGTCTGTCTAGCCCGGTACTGCCTACTCTGATATGGAATCAGTTTTTGAAGATTTTCCTGGCCACATGCCTAAGATACTTTGGAGCAGGTAAATGAAAAAGTGAACCTGGGACTTTCTCTATGCAAAATGTGTTTGTAGCCCCTCTCTTACATCTTCAGATTCCTCTCTAGAAAAGCTTGTTCTAGTGTAAACCATTATTAAAAGTGCTAAAGATAGCTTGGCTGTTTTGAGTAAAAATTTAAGTCCTTGCCTTAAAATAATAAAAAAAGGATTCCAGGATCAAGAATCCTCATCTGGTAGGGCAGCATGGATGATACACACTTGGAGTTTGGCTTGCCTTTATAGTTATGCATAATGAAAAAAATGTCCTTGGGTTTTTGATTGGTCACAGCCAAAATTCTTCTTGCTTTTAGAACCCAGGTTCTAAGAGAGAGAGAGAGAGAATGTCTTTTGTGGATGATGCAAATACACTTCAACCTTTGAATTGCACAGATCTGAGCAACACAGTTTTGGTGTTACACTTTTTTTTAATGAATGAATGAATGAATGAATGAATGAATGAATGAATGAATGAATGAATGAATGAATGAATGAATGATACTGTGCTGCTATGTTTCTCCAGGAAGTGGCCTGAGAAAGGTGGGTCTCGGGCTTACCCAGGATTCCGTAGCTGGCAGTGCAGCTGCCCCCACTCTGATGATGGTGGCCCAGTCAGCCCCCTCTCCTGTCATGGCAGCTCTGCATGGCAGCTGGGGAAGGTTCTGGGGCATGCTGAGAGGTTGGGGGAAGAGTGTGTGTCTATGTGTGTTTCTGCTTTGTAATAACATTTGGGAGGCAAAGGAGTTATACACGGATTTTGAACTACACTAGGGTCCAGCACCCCTAACGGTGTTGTTGAAGGGGAAAGGGTGCATGCAAATGGGCAAATTTCCTTGCAGTGTCAACAAATCTCTTTGTGTTTACAATTTGTGTTTAAACACCCATGTTTCCCCAGCCCTTCTCAAAAATGAAATCTGTGATCAGGAAAGAATCGCCATTCCACTCTCCCCTTTATACTTGGGAAGCTAAGCTATATAATAATAGTTCTTTAAAAAAAAAAAGAATACGATCTCCATCACATTCATTTGCCATTTGAGGGGGAAGGAAAGAAAAAAATGAGTGACTGGTTAAGGCAGAGAAGTTGTGTGTTGCCATTCCACAGCCCATATCAGTGACTTGTTGCGTTCTCTGAAACTCTGGTGCTACTTGAATTAGCTCACAGCTCTGGAGGAAGGTATAAACCTGTTCTGAGGTAGCCTGTTAGAAGCAGTCCATCAACTACTTCCAGTAAGGGGTATCCATCTGTAGTTCCTCCAGATGAGCAGAGCAGAGACTTACTGTAAATTCAGGGGGAAGGTATTATGCAGATCTCCAGTAGGGCTCCTAGCAGGCTGTTTGCTTCTTCAAACAGCCCGGCTTTACTGTCCCTCTTTGGCTTTCAGGGTCACTGCAGGTGACAAGAAGATTTAGACAGAGTTAAATTCACTCCCGTTGCTGGGCTGCAGTTGGAGTCTAAGGAATTCCAGCAGTTCAAAGCTGGAGGAAGGTCGTCAAAACTATGGGTAGCAGAGAAGCCTTAAGAAATGGCCTTCTTCAAAGGCGTTTCATGCCCACTACCAGTATAACATGCCCTGGGGTTGCTTACTAATAATACTGCCCTCTCTAACCTTTTATCTCGTAGATTTAATGTACTTCTCTACAATTAGCTATTTTCTAAGAAATGATGCCAAAAAGTGGGAAGTCAGACATGCAGTGCTGGAGGGGAAGAAGGGGTGAAGGGAATCCTTGTGACAACCCCCCACCCTGCCCCCATCTGCCAGAGGATGAGGTGGGATCTAACCAAGAGCTGAGGGATTGCTGTTCTATAACATCGCATCCTTGTTCTAAATAAAACTAGCCAATAAATGCCTGCAATTCTGGTTTAATTTTCAAAACTTATAGAAGCCAGGCTTGCCTCTTGTTTTGGCTTTCCTCACATTGGCACAAAAAAAAAAAAAACACAACACCATAGAAACCTATCTGGAGCTTTCTTTCCATAATAAGTCCAGCCCCTTAACCTGAGAGATGCATCGAAGCCTGTGAGTTTTGGAATGGGCTATTTATACCCTGGTCTCTTTCAACATGCTTGTGAAGGCGGGAATGGAGTATGTGTGTAGACTTCTTTAGCATGAGAGGGGGATTGGCAGTGCCTGCCTGCCTGCTTGATGGGCAGGCACCCTTTTTAATAGATGGGATGGTGACTATGGCTGGTGCTAAACAGTGAGATGTACCAAGAGAGGTGACTGTAGGACATGGGCCATACGCACACACACCCCCATGATGATAATTCAGACCTTCTTCTTCTTTTTTTTAACATCCTGAATGGTTTAGCAATTTATCATTGTTCATTAAAGCCAGGTGGATAATATGATTACTCTCATATTAATTAGGGCAAATCTGGAACAGGTTTTCTAAACTAATGAAGTTGTTTTCCCATTTAAACCCTGCGTCTTTCATCCAAAAAATGCATTGCAGCAATGATCTCTCATCACTGTTGTCCCTGGCTGTGGGTAGGGTTAGCCACCGTTTGACAACAGTCTAGGATTGCAGTGCTTTTGCAGACTTTTTTTTAAAAAAAATATGCCCTTTATAAATCATTTTTTCTTTCTTACTGGAGTAGTGGTGGTGGTGCCACAAACGGATCTTCCTCAGGCCGGCCTTCCTTTCCAAGGTGAATTTCTTTTAAATTAAATAGATTTAAATTTTTAAAAGTCCATTTTCAAAATTTAAATTGTGATTTAAATCCATTTGATATTTTTTTAAATCATTGATTTTTATCCACTCTACTCTTGACCTTCTTTAGGGATAGCATGTGTTAACATGAGTTTCTGACTCACCTATCAGGATGATGCACAATCTCTTCAGTCACCCCTGTGGCACACTTCCTTGTGTAAATTTAAAAGTTTGTCTGGAAAGTTCCATGGGGGCTTTGAGACAAGGCCTTGTAACTGGTTTTGGAATCCATTGAAGAAAAGCCAGTCCCACCACTGTAGTCAGAAACCAGAGATTTAGAGGCAAGGCAGAGTAAGATGTCTGCCTTAGGTGCCAGGCTGCCAGGCCTGGCAAATTCTGCCGTCTTCCTCTTTGGGAGGCCCCCTTGCTGCCTGGAGAGCTGCTGCCAACACTGGCTCCCCCTTGTTGGTGTTGGAGCCCCTACAGGGCTCCCTGCCCAGAGGCCTGTTGCTGTGGCTGTTATTGCTGCCATTGCCTCCCCTTACTTGCATAGCTGCTCGCCACAGCACTTTCTCATGTGGCTGCCTGTGCCACTGTGCCCACATTCTCCTTTGCATCATAGCTGGTCACCTTAACCCCTCACTCAGAGCTCAGAAATGGCAGGTTACTGTAATGTATTAATATTAAAATCAAATTCATTGGAGGACAAGCTAACTCATGTCTCACAACCATTCTCAACTGGGAGGGGTGGCAGCAGCTGGCATCTTTGGAGGGGGCCATAGGCTGGAAACAATTCTTCACACACCACCTTATATGTTTTGTTATGTGACTTATACAATCCCAGTTCAGCCTATATTTCTTTCATGTGTTTATGGCCATGGCCAAAAAAAAAGGTTGAGAATGGCTGAAGATTATAGAGAGTCGTGTTTCACAGGCTTAACATGAATACATTGCTTTCAAAATTCAGTTTTCTCAGGACTGAATGTCTTCTTTCTATTCAAAATGCTGCCAATGTTTTTGTCCTTAACAGGTTAATTTAGCGTGTTACTTCCACGTTCTGCCCTCGCTCATTCATTTGCTCACTTATATGGTGGCAGCTCCCTCTTGATGCCTTCTTCCTCTTGCTGCCACTGGGGTCTGTGAAGCCTTTGTGTCTTGAAGCCGCTGGCATGCCAGGACTGCCTCCAGCGAGTGGGTGGCAGAGTGCAGGGCCTGCCTGACTCCTTTCCTGATACTTTACCTCAGCTGCCCCTCATGGGCCCATAGCGCCAGTTTGGTAGCGACTTCCCCTTGAAGGCGTAACATGCCCTTTCCCGAGCAGAGGCTCCGCTCTTCTCATTAGTGTGGGGAGAGAATGCCATCTAGTACCTACGAGACCTAAGACAGAAGGGTTGTCTCTTTCGGGACGCCATTTCCATTCTGTTTCTTCTGTATCTAGCTGGGATTCAGCTTCTCTGAATGTAACACACATGACTGATCCCAGCTGGAGTTTCTTTCCCTGTGTGTGCATTTGTGGAAGTAATTTAGTATCCTGACCATCCAGTCTCAAATTCAGACAAAGACTCCAGTCAAGACCCACCTCTTTACAAAGAGCACTGGTAGGACCAGGATGGCCCCAGTTCACCTAACATCTTAGGGAGGTGGCAGCAGAAGGGGATGTCTTTGAGGATATCTGTGAAAGGATAGGGACCAGAGGGACTCTTTTTTTTTCCACTTAAGGTATCAGGAAAATTTGGGCCACTGCTGGTTGCAATGAGTTTGATAATTTCCTCCCATGTCCCACTGACATCTGTAGGAATTCTCAGTGTGGTTAGGATTATGCTTTTGTAATGGACTCTTGAGACAGTCGAACAAAATTAGATGCAGTGGGGGTGGTCTTTTCAGATGGAGAGATCCTCTGGTACTACTGATTATCAAGCAACGTGTAGCCCCTTCAACTTTCCTTTCCTTTCCTTTCCTTTCCTTTCCTTTCCTTTCCTTTCCTTTCCTTTCCTTTCCTTCCCTTCCCCTTCCCCCAAATGTATAAACTTGCCACAACATGCTCACTGTTAGCAGAGAATAGCATCAACATGATCATAAAAGCTAACAAAGGCCTTAAATCAGTTTTATCTTTTCAAAACTATCTCTGAAGTGAATGACCTTCAAGACTCTCTAATGTGAAATGAGTATATCATGAGAAAACATTCAAAAGTATCTCTTTTATTTGTAAAAATTTTAATGTTGCATTTAATCTTCCTTCCTTCCTTCCTTCCTTCCTTCCTTCCTTGGCAGCAGAAATGGAGGAGGGCCAGGCTCACTGGGGAGGGGGGGGTCACCAGTTGTAACTTATTGTAGATGATCCTGATGTGGCAGAGAACTTGCAGATGATCCTGATGTGGCAGAGCCACCACCAATCGCTCACTGGGGAGGGGGGGTCACCAGTTGTAACTTATTGTAAGTTAGGAGAACTTGCAGAGGATCCTGATGTGGCAGAGCCACCACCAATCATCTTCTGCCTCTTTCTGGCTTGTGACGAAGACTCCCAGCAGGAAAGACATACTTAAACCTCAGGGTGATTAATCCTGAAAGCAGCCTGTCAAATGAAGGGAGTTTTGTTTTTTTTTAATGAAATTAAGCTTTATCAAACACTATCAGGATGATATGCCAAGCATTTTATGGGAGGAGATACCTTTATAATAACCTCCCCCCCCTTTATTTGAAGTACTGTTCTATAAGGAGCAATATGTGGTATAAAATCATAGGCATCCTTCAGTCTCGAGAGACTATGGTATCATGCTCTGCATGGAGTACTTGGAACAGCGTCTAGTGTGGCTGAGGCCATGTGGTATAATAACAATTGTCCTAACAGACTGATCAAGCCGTACACCTCTCATATAATTCGCTCTTTCCTGAACCACTCTACCTCTCCCCAACTCCCATGAAAAAGGAAAGTGGGTAAGGAAACGAAAGCAGAGTCAGTGGCCAAAACATTGGAAGGCTATATTAACAGCTGAAATCCAGAAAGCTTTGGGACCCTGGACCATACTGTTTGGTGGAAGTACCACTGCATCGTCTTTAGGACATTAGTGTAATTGATGACTACAAACCTGTTGACTCCTGTGCCCATTCTTGGATACAGCGCTTACTCTGTTCTCGGTGGAAGAAGCCATCTCGTGTGTATACAGAGAGATGACAACTTGCTCTGTGGTCATCTTGGACACTTTCCTTTGTGGGAATTAATCTAGAACTAGATTAATTTTTCTTGTCTTCTACCAGGTGCACAGAGGAGGTGAAGACGCCAGGAGAAGAAGTTAGCAAAGCCAAAGTCCATTACAATGTGGAGTTCACTTTTGATACAGATGCCCGGGTGGCAATCACGATTTATTATCAAGCTACTGAAGAATTCCAAAATGGAGTAGTGAGGTAAACAAAAGAAAAGCAGCAGAAGGAAATGTTTGCTTCCCTATAAAATCTGTTGAAATTGGAATGGCTTTATAATAATCTGTTTTTCTTCACACTCAGAATGGTCATTCAGATGACTCCCCCATCATATACGTCTGGAGGAGAAAATGAATCCTGTGTGCCCATCTGTGTGTTGAGTTTGACATAGAAAAGATGAGTTCAGCTAGGTGCCTCAAGCAGTCAGGAACTCGGTGTGAAGCAACTGTTGTATTCATTCCATGACATACCAGATAATGGTACCTCTGAAGTAGTTGAGTTTATTTATAAATGTACAACCAGAATCTAGTTAAAACATTCTGAACAGCAGCAAAATCAACTGTTCTGCATTAGTTCCACCGTAGAGGTGGCCTGGGCAAGTAACTAGGTGGTGAAATAAATAATGCTTTATGTTTCCTGGGCTCACACTCTGCTTCCTTCTTTCCTTGTCTGCAACAGCAGTTTCTTCATTGTCTTTTTTCAGACATATAGCTATTCTCAAGCTATTTACTGGTTATTGTGGACCATCTTAACAAAAGATGTGCCTGACTCTTTTGGCCTCTGACCATTAAGGGGCTTTCAGCTCTCTTCATTAAAGTTTTCCTGTTCAGCATCCAAACTCAAAACAATATATTTGGTTTTATATAGAGGAAGAGGAGGCCATGTGTGTAGCTTGTAAACTGAAAAGAAAAGAGCAGAACATTCACTAAGGGCCAAAGTAGTGGAAGGGGAGAAAGCAGTCTTGTGGCTGTTTGCTATATCTTTGTGGTTTGTGGAGATCAACCATAAACATGCTGGCATATCGCTGCTACAGCCTGGAAATACTCAGGGTCAAACTAGATATTAAGAGGAAAGCATATTTCCTAGGACTCACCGTTTCCTCTCACTCTGTATTCCACAGGGACGTGCCCCTCAGCAATCAGATACATAAATGAAGCCCATATTAACTTTACCAGTCACATATATACACACACAAGCATGCCAAAAGTAAGAGCTGTAGGTGAATTTCCTCTCACTCTGTATTCCACAGGGATGTGCGCCTCAGCAATCAAATACATAAATGAAGCCCATATTGACTTTACCAGTCACATATATACACATAAAGCATGCCAAAAGTAAGAGCTGTAGGTGATGAAAATCACAAGCTGTGACAAGCAGACATCTTTGACCAGTTGAGGGAACACCTCTACAAAATACATGATAAATGTATTCACCCATCTGACCATGTCTCCAAAGCAAGAGTGGGCATCGTCCTGCTTTTGACATCTGCTTTGACCATTAACTTTGCTGCTGTGCTGCCAAATTTTGGGCAAATAGCACCAAAAGAGGTAGATTGGGTGGGTGGGTGTGAACCCTGTATTTTTATTCTGAAACACAGGGATCACACCTATTTCACTCGCACCTTACTTTTCTAGGGAAATGCCACTCTTTGTTGCTGTGCAACCATGTCCGGGTACTGGAGCTGCCTCTCAGACAAGAACGATGTCACGGCCCAGTCATTGCTGTGGAGGTTTCCTGGCGACGTTTTTGCCAGCAGGGGGTTGGGGGCAGCTCCAGCAGCTCTGTTTCCCATGCATATCAAGTGGGCAAGCTGTTCTCCCAACCCCAGCCCTATCGGTCGTGACAAGAAACCTCCCAGCGCTTGCTGGCTAACGGTCCTGCGAATGGTGGCTCCACATCCTGCTTTAATGTGAGGAAGCAGGATGTTTAAAATGGAGAGTTTCAGACCTGTTTTTAGATAACCTGCCATAAAAACAAAAGATATAGTTCCTTCCAGGGTTGAGCACATTCACAATCATGAGGATGCTCCCCATGTCTGAGAGGGAAGAGGCACTGATTTCCAACAACAAAATGCTTCTGTGCGAGTGCTAAGATAAATCTCCCCTAAGAGAAAAAGATACCTAAACTCAAGGCAAACCACTGCTTATTGTGTCGGCTAAATGAAATCTATCAATGGCCAGAATGGGGAGAGATGAAAAGTTGCCCAGCTTTAAAAGGAACTAAATGAAATCATGTACCGGGCCTGTGGCCTATTGCAAAAATAACGAAGTGTCTTGCATCACTTTGAATATTTGGGAAAGGGGGCCTTTTTGGCACTACAGAACCCGAATGAAAATGTATAAGTAAATACTAACGAATTATTGCAGCAGATTTTGTGGGCTAGAGTTTGTTTTCATCAGGTCTGGTTGGCAGATAAGCATAGGCACACAGAGAAAAATGGGAGTGGTGGGGACAGAGAGAAATGAAAAGCAGATCATGGTTTTGAATTTGTATGAATTGCACAAAACAGCAAGAAGAGAAACTGGGAAGCAACGGGGAGACCAGACACTGCTAGTTTTGTGTGTCCGAGGGTCCTAAGGCAAGAGATGCTCAACGCCTGCCCACCCCAATTAATCCTCTTTCTCATCATCACTGGCACCAACTGCTGTTGCTCCTCCTTCTCTTTCTTATCACTGCTGCCATGTGCTTGCTTGGCAGGCAGGCAGCCTGGGAGCAAGCATCTGTTCCTCCTCCTCCTTGCCGCCACCAGTGCCCCTGATGGGGCCAGAGGGAGGGAAGGTTAAATGAGCAGGTTGTGGTGGTGAAGAAAAGGGGCAGCCCCAGAGGTGCTTGGTGGGGTGTGGGTCCAGCCATTCCTAACCCTGGATCGTCCCTTAAACCAGACCCTAGGTGCAGGCTAAGGAGTGGAAGGAATGACACACACACACAAAAAAAGGCTCTGAAGGCCTTGTGATAGTGCTCTATGTGCGCCAGGAAGGGATCTGCCAGGGGCAGGTTCTGGACAGCTGGCTCTGATAGACAGTTTGAGAGTACTTGGAACAGTTAGAAGGACAGAGCATCAGGATTATGTCAGCCTCTTGTCAGGGAGAGAATGGCTTTTGAAATCATGTGCAGAAGGGAGCCCGGAATGGCTTTTGAGGTGTCACTGCGGGATGCCCATCAGGACACAGATGAGTGCTTCAGAGAGGGTCAGGAGGGCTGGGAGTCAGCATGGGCGTCCTGATAATAGGCCCTGGGGGGGTACCATTAGAGCATCTTGATTAGAGACTTGATCTTGTAGATGGAAACTACACCAAGGATTAAAGGGGGAGGCACTATTTATGTATGTGTACAAGGTTTTCTACTTCGTCCTTCAAAGGTTTATGCACCACTGGGGTAATTACAACTATTAAGACAGAAACAATAGCATAATTTAACAACAACATCATCAAATACAATAGAAGCAAGAGCAGTAAAAAGCAAAGAAGCTACAAATAAACACTTAATCTCCTCATCCGGACCCAAACCTGCCAGAATCAGGGAAGTACTCACCAACAAAAAGCAGCAAAAGATGGGGTCTGTCCAAGTCTAAAAGAAAGGCTAGGGTGGGTGGGTGAACAAAGTTTTTCTACACTTTGGAGAGCTGCATGCTAGGATCCAAGAATGACAAGCATGCCTTATGTCGGTGCTCATCCTGCTCCCTTCTCCTTTTCTGTGGTAGCTACATCCCCAAGGATAACAGTTTACAGTCCGAGACTGTCCACTACAAGCGTGGCGTCTGCCAGCAGTTCTGCCTCCCATCCCACACCGTTGATCCCTCAGAGTGGACTGAAGAGGAGGTAAGGCTTGTCTCAGTGGGCCTGGAAACAAGGCGAGGATGAGGCACAGAAGCAGGCACCTAAGAAGGCCTGCATAAACCGTCAGACTTTTAGCTCCTCAGCAGCTCAGAAGTCCTACACCGAAGGGGTCTCTTTTACCCAAGTAGAATATATTGTACTTTATGAAGGAAGTTACACACATTTCTTTTGTTTTATGTTTGTGATATAAAAAAGTGACAGACGAGGACTCAGGAGACATGGGGTTGAATCCTTGCTCAGCCACATATACTCGTGGCGTGTGTGGAACTGGTAAAACCCTTCTTTGAAAACTCTTATAGGGTAACTGTAAGTTGGTTTGACTTGACGGCGTGTAACACACACAGGGCAGCACCTTGTAGCTGGAGTTGTTCTGCACACACAGAATTGTGGCAATAGCATAGGCTCCCAATCTTGCACCTGGATGTGTGGCACACCATCCCGTTTTTGCAAGAGCCCTCCTTGGGCCGGGTAGTGTTGAGGTAAAGGGTGAGATGGAGACAAAATGGGGGACAATGTGTTTCTGCAAAGTTGTGTTGAGGGAAGACAAACATGGCCAGCCCTTTGGCTGGATGGTGTCATGCAGGGACTTTAACATTAATTTGCGGGGTGTGGGGGTGGGACTTTGATCTCAGCCTCCAGTAAAATTAACAGCATGCTTCTCTGTGTCTGATTGTATTATTTCCAAATGTAAGCCTGTGGTCCCCATAGAGATTATGGCACTACAGTGCTCTGTGAAGACAGATATAATCCTTCCCTTCCCAGATACAAATCCCCAATTCTTCCCCCGCCCCTGTGCTGCAGTTACTAATGAAAAATCACTGTCGGCATCTGTTTACTCCTGGTGGCTGCAGTGCAGGGATGGTGGGGGGGGGAGTGGAAAGGATTAAGCTTCCTTCCTTTTCCTTAGTGCTGTGGCTATGAATCAGATTAGGTCTCCTTATTTGTATCTGAGTAAAATAAGATTTGAAAGAGCTTTTGTGTGCTATGTATTTCATGTTGGATTTTGTTTATTGTTCACTATGTAATAATTTTATATTTATCTGTGTATTTTATGTGTGTTTTATTCATGTTGTAAGCTGCCTGGAGTGGTCATGACTGACCAGATAGGAGGGATATAAACAAACAAACAAACAAACAAACAAATGTGTTCTGTAGTTAGTCCCACAGTTACTGATTCCCTGTACAATGTTCAAAGTGGCATGACTGGAAACTCGTGAGCTGTTTACAGAAAGTGTTTGTCATGAAAGACTGAGATCTCTTAATGTTTAAAGTGTTTCTCTCCTGTATTTCTGTCCCATCCTGACAGCTTTCATACAAGTTCATAAAGAGTTTAAGAGAGATTCTGAAAGTGTGTTCAGTACCCCGAGTCAAAAGGCACATAATTTATGTTCACTTTTGCTTGTGGGGCAAACATGACTCGCCTCTCTATTTGGTCCTCTCAACCATGCCATGCCAGGCTGAAAGAGTGACTAGCCCAAAATCATCCCATGAATTTCGTGGCTCACCATGGACCAGAACCTAGAAGTCCAGAGTCACAACCCAACACATTAACCATGACCACAACATGAATCTCCAAAAATTGTACTGGAGCTTTAATTCAAAGCCATCAAGCATTCTTTCTGGACAGCCATCTTTAAATGCCAACATTTTGTGAGAATTGTGAAGCTGCAGAATTTCAAGACCTCTGATTTCAGATTTGGGGATTTCAGATATGTTGGCATCTTGGGATACACCTGTAGTGTATGCGAATCATAGCAGGATTTTCACTGATCTAGCTGTTTCTGCTGTCTCATGTTTTCCATTTATTCTTCTTATTCTTTACAGCTGGGCTTTGACCTGGATCGTGAAGTCTATCCTATGGTGGTTCTTGCAGTGGTAGATGAAGGAGATGGTAAGAGATGTTCTTAAGGCTGAAATCTTTTCTGACACTGATTTAACAAGGATGCCCTAAATGTTCTCCTTGTAAGATCTCTCTGTGCTTTTACAACACAGCTTCTGATCAGGCAGATCACATTTCAAGTATAGAACCTGTTGGCAACAAACAATGCACACTCTATGAAAATCTCATGAATTGAGCTATTTGGTTCCATGAGACTGACCATGTTATAATTTTTGTGAACTTTTAAGAACAGCTCAACACAGGAGGTTAGGCAGATGCAAGAAGAAAAGAAAGCAATCTTTGTAGGAACCACACTCATCTGCTGTTTTCTTGTCTTGCAGAGCATATGGGTCACTGCCACGTCCTATTGGCAACATTTGAGAAGGTGAGCATTGTCTTGCAGCTGATCTTTTGTTAAAGCAAGGTTTTCAGCACAGTACACATAGTTGCAGGCCAGAACTTGGATCTGCTATTTTTGTGGACTACAAAACCCAGAATCCTCAGACAGCATGGCCACTGACTGGGCAGTTCTCAGCATTGCAGTCCCCAGATGTAAAACTTCCAAGTTCAAGACCAGACCTTTTGCAAGGTGTGGTCTAGGCTTTTCCAAGGGCTCAGGGTGTGAAGAGTTCATGGTAGCTGCACAGGGAATACAGTTGAGCCAGATAAAAAGCTGGCAGGCAAGGCTCACTTCACCCATAGTTTATTTCCAAGGATCAATGCTGCAGTGATACATTTTGAATCCCCTGCACTCATCATGACAGTCACCATAGCCTCCCCCCACCGAAAACTCCAGAAAATGAAAACAGATATATTGATCCATGTCAGCTAACTCATTCTACTGATTTTCAATTCTACCAGGACCAGAGCTTTGGTAAAATGAGCAGGTCATAATTAGTCACCTATTCAGAATTAAACCATCACAGACTACTTACCATTAAAACAGGGATAGCTCAGAACAACATATTTCCCATCTACTACCCTCACCTACAGGTGAGCTTTGGAGCTAAGTCCAGGGGAAACAAGAAAATCCAAGGAAGATGGCTCGTGGCATTATAGCCACTGCTAAACAAAATGGCTTAGCGCTTTGACCCTGACTCTGGAAGACCATTGGCACTGGGCATGTTGAACTGGTTGTATGACAAGGGCCTGTGCCCTAGAACTTCATGATTTAGTCAGCAGCTCCCTAGCCTTCTCTGTTCACTGCTCAGTAAGTACAACATCCAGGATGATGATTCCAGGACCATGAGGAATGCCTAAGAAGGCTACTTAAAATTCCCACTTTCTCCAGCAGTGCTGACCTCTTTGAAGGAAGGATTGAGAGAGGAAACATTCTCTATAAAGCAGAATATCTTGAAAGAACTGGAGGTGATCAGGAAAGAGTGCCTCTACTGGGGAGGTGACAATGTGACATATTCTGCAAACTATCAGAGGGTGGCATTTTCACGCATTTATTTGCCCTTCTGCCACACAATGGTAGCATCATCTCTTAAAGTGGCACACAGTTGGAAGGCATGCTATAGAACAACTCGAACTAACTTATAACAGCCAGGAATGTCTTCCATTAACTAATTAGCTTAAATGTATCTCTCATGTTCTTGGCTGAGTGAATGTAAAAACTTTTGCAAAAATACGCAATAACATCAATAAAATGAATTGAAAGATGATTGGAACTGTAGCAATCTTTTGTGAGAGCTAGTGCAATAATGAATGGTGCTGAGAGAATGAAAGGGACTGAATTAAAAGGGGAGCCATAGTTGAAGTCTCTCACACAAAGCACGGCATGAACAGGGTGCATTATTTTTGCGTTCTGCTGTACAGCAAACACATTTTAAAAAGGTGAAATTTTGTTTCATCACAAACATATTCTGTAAAAGCTTCTCAGCAGACAGCAATGCCAAAGGTCTCTCTCTCTCACCATACTGTTTTTTTTTACCTCAGCATGCTGATGGCTGTTTTTGTGTGAAACCCCTCAAACAGAAGCAAGTGGTGAGTGTGTGGCTAACAGTTCCTCGTACCTGCTGCATTCAAGGGATGCTTCCTGAGGTAGTTAGAATCAGTGAAAAGACCCTCCCTTCCAAGACACTGTTTGGGAAGAGGGCCACAATTATGGATTAGAGATGTATACTACCCACATTAGTTATATATCTCACCACCAGTGGTTTTTGCAAGAAGCTTTTAGAAATAAGTGAAGTGGGGAGACCATGGATTATGTAAAAAGAAAAGGCTATATAATATTTCAACTGAAGATAGTCTAGGTGAGTCAGACAAGGTAGAAGGTCTGGTTGAGGATGAAGTGAAGATGGCTTCCTCGTAGTGTGGGGCGGGAAGGGTGTACATTCAGGTGGACTGAAGTAGACTGTTATCTTTTGCAGTGTGAATGAAGGAAGTCTTTAGGAAAAGCTATATTCGGTTTTTCTTCCATGAGATTTCTGTTTTCAGTCTCTGCTGTCTCTTGCGATTTGTGTGGTGGTGGCTGTTTTCTCTCCAGGTGGATGGTGTGAGCTACTTGCTTCAGGAGATCTATGGGATAGAAAACAAATACAACACACAGGATTCCAAGGTGAGAATTACAGCTGATAGCTTTGAGCCAATTAACATGTTGCACACAAGTACACTCTTCAGGGTTTGAGTTTATAAATGAAAATGACTTTTGAAAGAAATTATGTGGCAGAATGTATTCTCAGAGGCTTTCATGGCCGGGATCCAATGGTTGTTGTCGGCTTTTTGGGCCTCCAGAACACGGCCAAACAGCTTGAAAAACTTACAACAACCATATGTGGCAGAAGTTCGTAAATATGTGTTGTGCATGTGTGCATCTGCAGTATATACATACCTACAGACGTGCACTCTTATACATCCCAGTGTAAAGTAAAAACACCTATTTATATACATATAAACACGTGCCTCCATTTCTTTAGTAAAAAACACTTTAGTGTCACATTAATTTCTTTGCAGATTTTACTGTTTTTCTCCCATGTCTGTTTTTTGCCTCTTTCTCTGCAAATCTGCCTTAACAACACTCCTACCTATACAACATCAATATGAATTCTGCTTGCCAAGTGGCCTTTACAGCTAGAGTATTTTGCTGTGCTCTCCCATCCAGGTAGCAGAGGATGAGGTGAGTGACAATAGTGCAGAGTGTGTGGTCTGCCTTTCGGATGTACGGGACACCTTGATCTTACCTTGCCGCCATCTTTGCCTCTGCAACACCTGTGCTGACACTCTGCGTTACCAAGCCAACAACTGCCCCATTTGCAGGCTGCGTAAGTTGACCTCTCTTAGAGTTTTTGTGTTTGGCCAAAACTGGTCACCTTCACTCTCCAAAGAGTCAGTAGTTTATGTTGTTGGACTCTCTAATTTTACAAAATTATTACTGTACCTGCATACTGAATGCAAAATGCATTGCATTTGTGGAAGCCTTTTTTGTCTTGTGACATAACTATTGAAAAATTAAGATCATGGCCAATCCTTGCTCGATATGACTTCTTTGTCTTTGGTGCCCTGTTCATGGCCGGATATTTAGAAAAAGAAACCCCAAAGAGCAGTCTCTGTCTTCTTAGTATGTGTGATTTAGAGTGTGTTTTGGAAGCTACTCATTTCCCCCTTCCCCATTTCTTGCCCCACAGCGTTCCGAGCCTTGCTGCAGATTCGAGCCATGAGAAAAAAACTTGGACCCCTTTCCCCAACCAGCTTCAATCCCATCATCTCCTCCCAGACGTCAGACTCAGAAGAACACTCGGTTAGTATGGGTGCACCGATATGTCAAATGTTAGCACAGTCTTGATTTGATGAACTGGTTTGTGGTGCTGGGAAATGTTCTAGTGCAGAAGGCTTGAGTGCCAAGAAATGTTAATTTAATTTCAGTTTCTTAAAAGAGTGAGAGAAAGAAAGAAATCCCTGTAATACAGTGGCACAGAGTTTGCTATTGGGCAGAGAGTGCCATCAGACCGGCATTTAGTCCACTGTTTGGACTGGTGCAGGGATGACCTGGTGGAGTCTTAAAGGTGGTGATCAGGTCTTTGCTAGCGTGCACTAGCCTGCTCCCAGAGCAGTCCTACCTTTCTGGCCCTTGTCAGGGGCTTCTGCTTCTTTGGTGAGAGGAGGATTGCTCTGGTTCAGATCAGTCCTAGCATGTGTGATTGCTGGGAATAGACCAAAGAAAGCTGTCCCCTTTCACTTAACTAATATTGTGTAGTGACGTGGTAAGAGAGACGCCTCATGCTATAGTTGAATTAAAGTTGAATTAAAGACTTCGCAGCTGCATGGAAGTATTTAATTTCTAATGGCAGTGTGGGGAGGCAGCTTTTGGAAAGCCAAACCTCCCTCCCTCCCTCCCTCTCTTCCTCCCTCCCTCCCTCTCTCTCTCTCTGTCTCTCTCTCTCTTTCTTTCTTTCTTTCTCTCTCTCTCTCTCTCTCTCTCTCTCTCTCACACACACACACACA